ATGGCATATATTTGCATCTATATAAATATATCTGCATATATTATAGACCTATTCATCGGCATGTCAACAAGCACACCCTGCTCCTCCCGCCTGGGTTTGGGCAAAGCGCCCAGCCCTGCCCTGGCTGCAACCCGTGATCACGCTCCTGCATATGTGTGTGCTGTGTGACCCAGGCGGCCTCCTGGTACAGGCATGTGGCATACCATGGAAAAAGAATGGGAATGCTAACCAGCCTCTTGAAAGGCTGATGCCGGATGCTGGGCGAGGGGATGCGTGTGCTCCAGGGTTGCGCCACCTGAGCGCATGCAGGAGAGTGATGCATGGTCCGGCAACATTTGGGGAGGGGCTCACAGCAATGCCTCTGCCCCCCAAGTGCAGTTAGTTGTGCCTTGCTGGAGCGTGCCAAGGGGCCCCTCGCCCGCGTGGGAGAAGGCACACGCACGCTCCAATCTGGATCTGGTGCCCCCCAGGGATAAAAATAGAGCTGAGAGCAGGGAGGCGGTAGCCTTGGTTACCGGTTGCCGAGAGACAGCCAAGCGCCCTGGAGATGCTGCTGCTGCGGGAGGAGGGAGAGGGGGCCCAGACCGGGGAAGCCCCCTTCCCCTCCAGTGCAATGCAACAGAGGCACCCCCCCCCCTCCCGTGGCCCCTGCAATCCAAACCTCAGGGCCCATTCCTGCTCCAAGGTCGGGCCAATTCCTCCAATCACCAATGGCCCCATTGCCGGACATGAAGCCCCCTCCCCACCCCCCGGCTGAAGGGAATGCACCCCCAAAGGGGAGGCCCACGCACACCCAACAGTAACACAGTGCAGAAGCCAATGAGGAAAAGCAAGGGGTGCAAGCAATGCTCACACGCCAAGTCCACTCCAAGTGGGCGAGTATGGAGGCCCCTTCCCTGCCCAGCCTTCCTATGGAAAATCACCAAGCCAGTCACTAACACAAACGAACTCGTTCCGCCCACTGCTCAGTTTGGCCATGACTCCAAAGCCCATCGGCTGGGAAGCAGGGGCCCTGGGGCCACCATCACCAGATCTGGGAGGGAGGGAAGCAAATAGAAGGAGCCCTGCAAGCCTCATGCCTCAAACGCCACAGGGTCCACAACACATCCACAACTCTTTATTCCCCCAAAGTGCCCAACAGCAGCTTCCAAAACAAGGCCACAAGCATTACCAGACCAATCCGGGATATGTCCATCTCGACTGGTCAGTGCAGCATTCAGGCGGCCTCCTAGTTTACCAGAGCCTGTTTGGCACAGGTAAGCAGTCCACGAGTCTCCTCAACCGGCCAGTTGCCCAGAACTGGCGGAGCCAAAGCATCACCGCATTATCTCAAGGTAAACAGCACTGGGCGCCCAACTAAGAAGAGCCACAGCAACCCAGAGGCCCCTGCGCATGGCAGCCTCCTGACCCCCACCATCCCACTCCCCATAGCCAGCCCCTCTGCAACCGAGAAGAGTGCTGGGAGCTGCAGTCCAGCATCTGTGTTGGGGGTGCTTTNATTCTCCTCAACTGGCAAGTTGCCCAGAACTGGAGGAGCCAAAGCATCACCGCATTATCTCAAGGTAAACAGCACTGGGCACCCAATTAAGAAGGCCACAGCAACCCAGAGGACCCTGCGCATGATGACCCTGACCCCCATCATCCCATTCCGTATAGCCAGTGCTCACTGCAAGTCCCATCAGCACCCGAGAGGAGAGCTGGGAGCTGCAGTACGGCATCTGTATTGGGGGTGCTTTGATTGTCATGAGCTCAGTGGACACGGAGGACATGGCGAGAGGCACAGGCGGCGCAGGAGGGGGCACTTACCGGTGCCGGGGCGTCCCATGATGATCTCCTTCTTGGGGGCCGGGTGGCTGGTGTACTCCCCGGGGACGATGACCGGGAGCAGGGCGGCGGGCGAGGGGTGGAAGGCCACAGGCTGGAAGGGGCAGGGTGGCGGCGGCTGGGCCTGCTCGGGGGCGGAGGAGGGCTGGCCGGAGGGCAGTGCCCGGCCCGCGTTGATGGGCACCGGCGCCTGCAGCTGCCCCTTTCCGGCCAGCAGCTCCTTGGGGGCGGCCTTCCCCGCCCGGGGGCCGCCCTCCCGCAGGGGCTTCTCCGTGAACTTGGAGGGCGGCAGCAGGAGCGGCACGTCCGGGTTGCGCACGATGACCGGGGAGTCCCTCTGGACGGCGGGCACCCTGCGCACGCTAGGGCCCGGGTCGCAGGTCAGGCTGGCCGGGGGCGGCACCAGCAGCAGCGGGGAGGCCTGCTGGGAGCGGGAGGCGGCGGCCGAGAAGGGCCCCCCCGCGGCCGGGGAGACGGACCGGAAGCCAGCCGGCGTGGAAGGGGTGGGCGTGTGTGAGACGGAGTCCACCCCTGAGTCCAGGCTGTCACTCTTGTGAAAGTCGGCCGCAGAGCCGGGGCCCATGACACCCATGACGCCCACGCCGGGGCCCATCATCGTCCCGTGGTGGGCCTCGGCAGCCTTGCGCTTGCTGGGGCTCATGGGCACCGTGAAGGTCAGGTTGGTGGGGAAGGCGGCGATGCCGGAGTGGTGCCGCTCGCGGGAGGCCGAGGAGGCCGAGGAGGCGCCGTGGTGCAGCATCTCGGGGCTCAGGACGGCGCCCTTGGGGGTGCTGGCGCTGACGTGGCGGCTGCGGGCGGCGGCCGCCCTCTGGATGACCGGGGAGGCGTTGATGGGGCTGAAGTTGGCCGGGCGGAAGCCGAAGAGCGGGGAGGGCGACGGGGAGGGGGCCGGGGAGAAGGGCGACTGGTTGGAGACGGGCGAGAAGGAGGGGGTCCCCGAGCGGGAGCTGCCCAGCGAGACCAGCATGACAGCCGCCTCGCACTCGTCGAACTCAAAGCGGGAGAGGTCGGCGGGGGCCACCAGGCGGGGGCGGGAGTCCCCCCGGGCGCTGGAGGCCTCGCTGTCCCGGGAGGTCTCATCCCAGTCAAATTCGGCGCTGCCCTCCCGCAGCCCGCTGGCCCGGCCCTCCGAGAGGCTCTCCATCTCCTTGGTGCGCATGGAGAGGTGCCGGGAGCAGTAGCCGCGCCGCTGGGACTCCTTCATGCAGCCCTCGCGGGAGCACAGCCGCCGCCACTGCTTCCCGTTGAACTTCTTGCGGATCCCGTTCGGGGTGCAGACCACGTCCCCCTTCTTGTACTTCTGCTGCGCCGCCGTCAGCGGGGTGCGCGACCGTGAGGAGCCCGGCGTGCTGCACTTGTCCACCGAGACCACGCTGCTGCTGCGGCTCCCGCTGCCGGCCTCGGGGCTCAGGAGCGGGGAGGGCCCCTCGGGCAGAAGGCGTGGGAAGGGCGGCGACTTGGGCGGGGAGACCACCTGCGGGGGCAGCACCGCCGACACCAGCTTCTCCTCCACGGCCCTCACACCGGCGCTGATCTTGGAGACCTCCGCATCCTCTGGGTGCTTCGCCTCAGGGCAAGGGAGGGACAACGGCGGCAGCGGCGGCACCCCCTCCTCCTCCTCCTCTTCCCGCACTGACGGGGGAGGCCTTTCAGGGGGTTCCCCCTCCCCCTCACAGCTCCAGGGCGGCCGCAGGAGGCGCAAGGCAGAGCGGGGCAGCCAGGACGAGTCCTTCCGCGTGGACGTGGCCCCCCCTGGCCCTGGGAGGATGATGGGTCCGGTGAAGCGCACTTTGTAGGAGGCCGGCTTGGTGCTGACCTCGACCACGGTGCCCTCTCGGTAGGCGGCGGTAGCCTCCTCTTCGGGGCCCACGCAGGCACACACCACGGTGCCCACGGTCAGGGCACCCGGCGGAGGGACATCGTCCAAGACCACCTCCACGGAGCCCGGGGCCCCCTCGTAGAAGGCCGTGGCCCGGTCCCCCAGGAACTGCACCCCCAGGCCCTGCCCACGCCGGACCTGCTTGACCACAGCCGGGAGGAAGAGACCCTCGCGTCGGGCCAACACCCGCTGGGAGCGCAGCTGTCGCAGGTCGAAGCCCCCCCGGAAGCGGGCCCCCCAGGCGTCCCCTGGACCCCTCTCGGTCTCGTCGGCTGAGTGCTCACTGGCCGTGTCCGTGCTGGAGGAGGGGCAGCGCCGGGGGGCTTCCTCCGGGAGAGGGGTCCCCGACGATGAGGCTCCCGACACCCCTTCGCCGGGCTCCTCTCCCTCTCCTCCTCCTCCCCCCAGGGGCTGCTTCCTGCAAGGAACGCGGGCCTTGAAGGCGGCTGTCTTGCGGTTCAGGGAGGCCTCGGCCCCGCCCGCCTCGGGCCCCATGTCCATCTCCGACTCGGGGGGCAGTGCGTAGGGGTCGCCCTGGGCCCCCGACATCTCCACAAAGGTCAGGGACCGCTTTGTGTCCGGATCCTCCGCCGGCTCCACCTCTTCCTCCGGCCGGGGCTCCTCGCCTTCCGCGGCCGTCCTGCGCTTCTGGGCCTTGGCCCGCGTCGAGGGCGGAGAGCGACTGCTGCTATTGCTGCTACTGCTGCCTGAGGAGGAAGAGGAGGGGGCGGCCTTCCTCGCCGGTTTCATCTTCTTCTCCACTCGGGGGAGCTGGAAAAAATAACAGAAGGAAAGCGTGTGAGGAAGGAGGAAGGGAGGGGGCGCTCATCCGGTCAGAATCCCCCTCTAATGCAAACCCCAGAGCTTAGGGAAGTTCCTTTTTCAGGCTCTCCCCCCGCCCCCATCTTCCTGGGAAGTCCCACTGGGGGCAACAAAGGGAAAACCCGCAAGGTCCGCTCAGAGTTCCCCCAAGTAATCACTTGTGTCCTCCTTCCCTCTGTGGCTATCCCAATGGTACTTCCAGCCGGGGGGAGGATGTTGCAGGACCCATAGCTGCCCAAGGGGATGCTGGGAGGGGCCCCAAAGCTGGACCGGTCAGGCACCTGGACGGAAATACGATTTGGATCATGATTTTATGCTTTTTAAAGAGTTTGTTTTTAATGTTTTTGTTTATTTACCAACGTATTAATACATGGCATTGAATTGTTGCCTTGGTCAGGCCGCCCTGAGTCCCCTTTGGGGTTGAGAAGGGTGGGAGATAAGGGGGGAAATCAATAATAAACAATAAATAAATAAGCGCAAAAAGCACAAAAGGACACCCCCCCCCCCCCACACGCACACACACACAGGGCTCCCAGGGCTGCTAGCAATAGCCCCACTTGAACTGCCATGGCTCCACGCTATGGAATCCTGGGATTTGTAGTTTGGCGTGTCACCAGCATTCAGCAGAGGAGGCTTTATTGCACCCCTCCATCCCATCCTGAGGGGATCTGCTAAACCAAACCCCAAAGGTCGCAATCAGAAGAGGAGGGGTCCTCTGGGAGGCCTTTCCCCTCCTCTACCCAAGGAATGCAACCTGCAACTCCCGGGATTCCATTGCATGGGGGGGGGGGGGGCACTCATTCCCACCCAATGGCTTTAAGACAAAGGCAGGCTCAGCTTCTCCTCCCCCCCCCCCCCCAGGAAAGTGCTCCAAGGGCAGGGCACATGGAAAACAGATGGATCGGGGTCAGGAGGAGGAGTGGGGGTGGAAGGGGCCCCATTCGTGGAAGGCGCTGGTCCGGCCTCAGCAGCAGAAGGCTCCAGCAAAGGAAGCGGGCAGAAATTGGAATGGAAGAATTGCAAAATTAATTCATCTTGGTGGCAATTAATAATAATAATAATAATAATAATAATAATAATAATAATCAACTTTATTTATACCCCACTACCATCTCCCCAGGGGACTCGGTGCGGCTTACATGAGGCCGAGCCCGGAATACAACAATACAAGCAATAACAACAACAATAAGCTTAAGGTTATTTGAATTTGTCTTCAATTTATTAATTTATTTATTTCAGATCTTTATACTCCACCCTTCTCAACACCCGGGGGGGGGGGGGGGGACTGGACTCAGGGCGGCTTATAGCCACAACGATTCGATGCCCCTATATACATAGAATAAAACACAATAATTACATATAAATAAAACATTAAATCAATTCAATTAAAAAAAACTATTCTGTGTCCGTAGTCCAATGATAACCCAATCCAAGAACAAGTCCCACAAACATACCAGGCCATTCAGGAAACACAATCCGGGTCGTTTAATGGATTGGGATTAGTTTGGGAACCAGATTCAAAACAGGTTCTGAGTTGTCATAAGTTTTTCAGGCTGTGTGGCCACGTTATTATTATTATTATTATTATTAACTTTAAGTTCATGTGGGTTTTTTCGGGCTATATGGCCATGTTCTAGAGGCATTTCTCCTGACTTTTCGCCCGCAACGTCAGGAGAAAATGCCTCTAGAACATGGCCATATAGCCCGAAAACACCCACAAGAACTTAGTGATTCCAGCCATGAAAGCCTTCGACAATACATTATTAACTTTATTTATACCCCGCAAAATCTCCCGAAGGACTTGATGTGGCTTACAAAAGCCAAGGCTGCAACAAACAACAACATACGAATATCACAATAAAACTCATAAGCAAATAGTAAAACGTTCAGTTGCTGCTCTTAGTTTGGAACTTAGTTTGGAGAACCCAAGCTTATAAATGGCTCTCAGCACCAAACTTTGCACAGACAGTACTATTATCCACTCAAGCCACGCAAAATTCATGACTATGCTGGAAAAGGGGCATAAAAATGGGGGGAATGGATTCTGGGAGGAAGTGGAATGGGAAGAGCACAGAGAGCAGGATCAGCTGTTGGAATTGCAAGCTTCTCTCTTCTGGATACCCGGCTACTTTCCGGAATGAATTTCCAACTCGTGCCTTGCATCTAATCTCTGTATTTTAACATGTTTTTTATGTATCTCTATAGGTTTTTTTGCAGTGTTAATGTGTTTTAATCATGCTGTAACCTGTCTCCAGCCACAAGGAGAGCCGGGTAAGAGATGAAATAATAATAATAATAATAATAATAATAATAGTTGTTATTATTATTATTATTATTATTATTATTATTATTATGGATCATAAGCCAAATCATGGGGAGGGGGGACACAATACACTTTGGGGAAGCTCTGTGGACCATTTCTGGGTCTGAACGTGCAAATAAGGATCTGGTAAATAAAAGTATTTTCCCGTTCCTGTTCTGTGTGCCTCCGGCCCCTAAAGGTAAAGGTTTTTCCCTGGCATTAAGCCATGTTGTGTCCAACTCTGGGACTCTGGTGTTCATCTCCATTTCTAAGCCAAAGAGCCAGCGTTGTCCATAGACACCTCCAAGGTCATGTGGCCGGCATGACTGCATGGTGCTGTTACCTTCCCACTACAGTGGTACCTATTGATCTACTCACATTTGCATGTTTTTGAATTGCTAGGTTGGCAGAAGCTGGGGCTGACAGCGGGAGCTCACCCTGCTTCCTGCATTCTCGAACATTTTGGTAAGCAAGTTCAGCAGCTCAGTGGTTTAACCTGCTGCGCCACCGGCTCCTTCTACACTGCCATATACGATCCAGATTATAATCTGCTTTGAAGTGGATTATACGGGAGTGTAGACTTAGGCCCCTAATGCACAGCTGTATACAACCCACCTTGAACTGGATTATCTGGCAGTGTGGACTCGGATAACCCAGTTCAAAGGTGTTGTCTTATTGTTAATGTCGCCTTTTTTACTGTCCATGTTTTTTATTTTAATTGCTTGTATTGTTGTTATTATTGCGTGCATTGTTGTATTGTGGGCTCAGCCTCATGTAAGCCGCAACGAGTCCCTTGGGGAGTACAAATAGCGGGGTAAAAATAAAGTGTTATTATTATTATTCAAAGCAGATATTGTGGATGATCTCCCTTGACATTCTGAGTGATTGATTTATTGATTATTTATTGATTGATGGCATTTCTATGCTGCCCTTCTCACCCCAAAGGGAACTCAGAGTAAATACAATATATTATATTATTAGCATAGTGCAATATTAGTAACATACATTTCCATATTGTACTACACCAGCATACTGTAATATTATTAGTAATATAAAATATACAATTTTATATTGTATTGTTATTAGTATTATAATGTATGACATTATTTTATTATCACTATTATATGTGTATACAATATATTGTATTATTAGCACAGTACAATATTATTATTATTATTATTGGAGCCCCTGGTGGCGCAGTGGGTTAAACCCCTGTGCCGGCAGGACTGAAGACCGACAGGTCTCAGGTTCGAATCTGGGGAGAGGCGGATGAGCTCCCTCTATCAGCTCCAGCTCCTCATGCGGGGACATGAGAGAAGCCTCCCACAAGGATGATAAAAACATCAAATCATCCAGGTGTCCCCTGGGCAACGTCCTTGCAGGCGGCCAATTCTCTCACACCAGAAGTGACTTGCAGTTTCTCAAGTTGCTCCTGACACAAAAAAACCCAATATAGTAATACATAATACTAATGTACTATATTACTATATTGTAATGTTTATTGTTTTGCTTTATAGTTTTATTGTTGTATTTGTTATGCTGTTGTTTTATTGAGGGCCTTGGCCTTTGAGTCCATCCACTGACCACCTACTACAATACAACCTGAGCCCTCCCACGTGCACAATGGAGGACCTTCTTATAGTAGCACCAGAGGCACTCCAAGTGGCCAGCTAGTGGTCAAAGGACTTTTAATAGAATGCCAAGTTTGCAAATTGTGTGTTTTTTTAAAATTACAATACAACTGTTTGGTTCACTCCTGACATGATAGATAAATAAATAAAGTAAAAATCACAATCACCCAGTAGCTATCTACCAAATAATCAACATTTTATATTTTTACTAGCTGTCCCCTGCCACGCGTTACTGTGGCCCAGTCTGGTGATCTGGAAAATAAAGTAATGAGAAAGTGTTGGTTTCTAATATATGTAATTCCTTTATGCTTGTGTAAGTGTTGATGTGGAGAGTGTCTGGTTTGCCTACTCTGGAACATGCAACACGTCATTGTGCTTCTATAAGGGTCTCTTTCATCTCTCTGTGTGTGAATCATATCTATCTATCTATCTATATCTATGGCTGGATGGCTCTTTGTCAGGAGGGCTTTGATTACGTTTTCTTGCCCTGATGAAGGGAGTTGGATTGGATGGCCTTAAGTATTTTCTGTTGGTCATGGGGGTTCTGTGTGGGAAGTTTGCCCCGATTCTGTCGTTCGTGGATTTCAGAATGCTCTTTGATTGTAGGTGAACCGTGAATTCCAGTGACTACAACTCCCAAGGTCTATTTCCCCCAAACTCCATCTGTGTTCAAATTTGGGCATATGGAATATTAGTGCCAAATTTGGTCCAGATCCATCATTGTTTGAGTCTGCAGTGCTCTCCTGATGTAGGTGAACTACAACTCCCAAACTCAAGATCAATGCCACCAAACCCTTCCAGTATTTTCTGTTGGTCATGGGACTTCTGTGTGCCAAGTTTGGTTCAATTCCATCATTGGTGTTCAGAATGCTCTTTGATTGTAGGTGAACTATAAATCCCAGCAACTACAACTCCCAAATGACAAAATCATAATTTTTTTTGAGTGATGGTCACTCCTTGTGTTGTGAGACGTTTTGTTGCCAAATTTGATGTGATTTCGTTCATTG